AAGGTACACAAGGAGATGGCACAAGGACAACCTTCAGTAATACCTGGGGAAAGAAGTCCTCTTTATAGCCATAACATTACTGAGAGCTGGACTGGTGTCCAGTACTGAGTGGAAATGGAAGCTCCACCACCCTCCTCCACCACCTGGGAACTGATAAGAGACTGGGGCTTGGTGTTACCTGAGCAGGAGGGAGGAGAAGCAGAGAGGGAGGTGCTGAGGACTGGGGCAGGTGCTAACCCCAGGGAGTCTGTGGAAGGGTATAGCTCTGCTTGGCTTCAGTATAGGAGGTTACGTAGGAGATTGTAGCAGGGGCTGTCTCCCACCACTGTTTTTTCTCTTTTCTGTGCTAGGTTTTGATTGGGCTCAAGCATGAAGGGCAATTGGGTTGGATTAGCCTTTTGCTTCCTTGGGCAGCTATATGCAGGTAAGTGCTATCTATCTGTGATTGCTTTCTCCTTCTATTTTTTGTAGTTCTTCTCCTTGTACTTCTTTTTTGGTTTCTTTTGTTTCTCTTGTTTCTTTTTGCAAGGCACTGCTGTTTTAGGACCTGTGCTGAGAAGGGTGTTTAGGTCTGCAAAGATCTGCTGTGTCTTGTTGAAAGCTCGTTAAAGAGCCTCTGCTGCACATTGGTCAGGAAGGAGGAAGAACTTCATCATCTCTTTTTCTTCTAGTTGTTAGTTAAACTTCCCAGGCGTCTGGAGATGAGGCAAGGGAATGGAGAAACAAAACTCTTTCAATGCCATTTTCTCTCACTAGTGCCTCTCTCCGACAGTCTTCCTTTCTGTAAGATCTGTTGTTTCTGGTCTGTAAGTCTTTAAAACACTACTAAGAATTCCTGTAGCTTAAGGATTTTAAAAATAATTGCACCGCTTCTGGTGCTGATGTTGGGCAGTTTAGGAGGTCGTTGTGTATGTGGGACTCTAACGACAGAGGCTCAAGTCTCTCATCTGATGAGGCTTTGCCTTTCTCCACCTCTGGTGATGTGACTAATGTGCTTGCTGCTTTCCTGAGGAGCAGCAATGTCTCCTACCTCCTTTTCCAAATGTTTGAGTTCCCCATTTTACGTCACAACAAACCCACCACCTCTCAAGCTTCCACAGGACAGGTATGTTGCTTGCCCCACAGCTGCATTTCATACCTTGCTCTTCAATTTTAGTGTTTCTTGTTGCGATGCCTACCCTCCCTTTGGAGTCAGAACTTGCAGAAGGAGAGGTGAAAGACTCATGCATTTTTTGGTAACTTTATCTTCTAGATCAGAGCCTGAGACCTCAGCTTGCAGACCCTCAGCTTGCCACCAGCAACCCCACCCTTACTACAGTTGCTCTAGAGAAACCTTTCTGTATGTTTGATAGCTCCCTAAGTCCAAATAAATCTTACAGCGTCTACTTGTATGCAATGATGGAGTCAGGTAAGTATCCACCATTATTTCCTCTCCAGAGCATTATGCAGCTTCTAATGCAGTTCTTCCAAATTTGATGGGTCCATGTCTGAATGGGTGAGAAGACAAAATATGTAGCTGCAAACTGCATGCAAGCTGAGCATTTGCCTCAACTTGTTCTAAAGTCTTATAAAGTAACTAGTATTTCAGTGGAGCTGACTAGAAAAGAACAAGCAGGAGTGCTGTGTTAGCTAACTCCCTGTAGATGTGGAGCACCACCAACAGCTTTAAGCAGCCTAGCAAAATCTTGCTAGTGAAGCCAGGTGGTCCACAGTGTGATACCTGATCTTTATCTCAACGTAAATACCTTGCATAAAAGTCTAAATACCACTAAGGAACGCTGATAAGAGAAACTGGGTTTCTCTCATAGAACTATTTCTCTCATAGGTACTGCTATGTTCTTCTTAGTTAAGTGTGCAGACTTCAAGGGCAGCCAGCATTTGCAAGGACGGAAGTCATACTAGACTTGTACTCAAAGATGCCTGGCCTGTGGATTCATTGAGATAACGAGCTTCCTAACTGCCGGGTAATGACATATTGTTGGCAGTGACCGAGAGCTGCCTTCTCTGTTCCCTGCTATTCTGGCAGGCTGTTTTGAATGCCAGCTACAGCTGCCCCTTAACCTGACAGATATAAATGACATAACAGCTTCAGGGAAGAAGTTATGGTATGCAGCCGCCTTTTCAGAGAGGCATGGAGCAGGGAATTCATGGCAGGAGGAGAGAGAGCAGGCTAACAATGAATTAACAGCAAAGAAAAATGTCTAAAAATTTCACTGCCCTTCTGGAAAAGGTGGGAGGTGCTTCTTGTCATAATGGGAGAAACCATAACCAGATAGGCTGCTAGATACAGCTAACTCAAATGTGAGTGTACTGCCCTCCAAGACACTTTTCTCAAGTGATGTATGCACCTTTGCACATCTGAAATGCTCTACAACAAGAGCACTGGAACTACTCAAAAGGCTACACCGACCTCATATATAGTTATAACTGCAAATACACAGCTCTGCTGTTTGATGTGTTATGTGCTTAGAAACTGCACCAGCCACCACATTTCTGTGATAAAAGCTTCTTACACGGATGGCTCAATCTCTTCTATAGGGTTATATGTGAAGAAACCTCTGCTGCTATTTTTAAAACAAGCAGATGAAAACTTGTTACTTGGAAAATTGGGAGGAATTTTGTTTGGATTTGTCTCAAGTCTGGATAGCAGCATGTTGACTCCCCCTTGGATGTGTCTTGCAGCAGAGAGAGGAAAAGCTTAAGAGAACTTCATTTTCTTAATACATTGTGTTCATCTCTTCTGGAAGAAAAATTTCTCAGTGTAGTATCAAGCTGAGAGTCTAAAAAATCTCAGAGTTAACCTTTATGTCTATTTTGGTTAGTGTCACTATCGGATTCAATATGCTCTTTTAAAAAAAAAAAAAAAAAAAACCTCTACATTGTTTACACACCAGCACTGAAGTTACTGAAGGGGAGACTAGGGCGGGGAATAGATGTAGGTGAGAGCGTAATTTGGAGTAACGAGTCTGTGATTAAAACAGGCCTTTGCTAGTATTCACTTTCTTATTATTGGCTCCTGTTGAGTGGAAGGGCTCAACTAGAGCACTGATTCTAAAGTTGTGTTCCTAAATGGTGCAAGAAACCTTTCCCTTCCAAAACAGTTTTCAGTTTGTATTGCATTGTAATTAAAAGCTTCTCATGACCAAGCAATTGCAGGAAGTCTGCTCCAGGAGCACAGCAAAAATGCTTCCCAACTGAAGTAGTTCCTTCCATAATGCAGCCTTGGAAAAGCCGGTGTTCCTCCACTGTTAACAGCACCAAGCAGCTGCAGGAAGCTCCCAAAACAAACTCTGTCCTGGAGGCCCTCTTTCCTGCAAAGAATCAGACAGGTCTTCCCTGCCCACATTCACCCCCTCAGGAGCTGCAGAGAACAAGGTAGATGTCTGCGCATGGTCAGTGAAAGTAAACATCTAAACCATCCTGCTGACCTTGTGGCAAGGGGCTGTAACTGGGTGAAAAATCATTTCTGTGGCTTTTCCAGAAGTGTGGCAGTCTTACCAGAGCTGGTTCAATACTTTGGACTGTGAGATAAGCAGCCAAAATGAAACTTACCTGTTGCTTCTGACATGGGATTGGTACCTTCCTGGGAGCCAACTGCTGCTCTGAGCAGGAGCTTCTTTAACCATGTAGAAAAGTAGAGATGTGTTGTGAGGTTCTTAGGAAGGCAAGATGAGTTTGAGGAAAGGAGCTGCGTTTTTCAAGCTTTCTTCTTTTTTTAACCACCCTAGGAAGAAATGTAAAAGCTGTGCTCATTTCTTTCTGCCTTGTGTCTTTATGGGCTCACCCACCTCCCCACTCCATCAGAATGTTCTTGGAAAGGAGGAATTTTGGGAGGGTGCTTACTGGAAGGTATTGCTTTGAGAGATGCTGTGGAGTCTTCACAGGGGCAGTGGGATCCCTACTCAACCAAACGAGTAGCAGAGCATTTCTCACTTGGGTATTTTAGGGTAGAAGAGAAAGTCACCAAGTAAATACCAGGTGCATGTGAAGGAACGAACCAGAACTAACAGCTTTGCTCACAAGAGTGTCTCCTGCAGCCATTGCAGGAAGCTCCCTAGTGACTGACCACAGCGGCAAGCCGCTCAACAGCACCTTCCAGCAAATGAGCGGGGGACAGCTTGGACCTTACAAGGCTGCCGTGTTCAGCGTGCCCAACTGTGCGTCGCCCCCAAACCCTGCGGATGCGGCAGACATTAACAAAGTTGCCGATGTCCTGAAACAATACCTCTTCAGAGTGGGAGATGACGGGACCTGCTTGCATGACCCCAACTTCCTAGATGTCTGTAACCCGCCTCTCGCTCCAGACACAACGTACAGGTACAATTCTTATTTCTCTTCCTCTTAAAACACAGTAGAAAGCAACATTCAGTCCGTAATCTTCTTCTGAAATAGTATGATTCAAATCACCAGTCCAGAGCTGAAGTGCTCTACTGAAAAGTACTCCAAGGCTTATCTTGCAATGGAGAACTTTGTCGGGTTAAATTCATGGATCGCGAGGAAGTTCATATGTGAACTGCTGAATCTGTATTTCTGTTGCACGAGGTGACCCAAGGATAGCACCTGATCAGAAACTCATGAGGAAAAGAGTTTGCTTAGGCAATGATGCTGAAATTATTCAGCCTGTATTTGGGGTTAAGTGATTCTGACAAAATGACACGGCTTGCTTTATTTTGGTGAGCTTCTGGGGGAGCTCAAGTCCCCCGTGATCCCTACCTCTAGGGAGTCCCTAGGGTGGCTGGAGTGGGGCCAGGTGGGGCCAAGTTGTCTGAGCTCTGTTGTCTGGGGAAGCTGGGGACTCTGAAATGCTTGTTATGCTGCTATCCTCCTTTTAAAAGTCACAGTAAAAAAGGCAATTAAATAGTTATGTCTGTTGGGAAGACCTAATACACTTCTGAAACAGAATGCTATCAGCATAATTTGGCAGAAACTGTCCTGGCTTTTCTACCTCTTCAGGATATTTCTGAAAAGTCAGACCGTTATAGAATGGAAACTTGCTTTCTTTGCCAAATCTGATGCTGGTCTGTCTCTCCAATGCTTTCCTCTAGCAGGGAAAGTGCCAAAGATCTCTGTTGTTGGACGAAATCTTTGACTTCCATATGGAAATCAAAACCACTTGCTGTCCTAAATAATGAATCGCTTTACAGCAGGGAATAGCAAGCTGGGAAAAACTGTTGTTGGAAAGTTATCTGCCTGGCCTCAAGAATGAAGTGCAAACTACACATGACATAGTACAGAAAGCTTTTTCTATGATTAATTATATTCTGTTCTTTATAACGTCTTTGGAAATAGCCAGTTACCTTCAGCTATCTTTGACTCAAGACCAACTAGCTAATACAGGAGCTTACAAAATCCTAGGAAGGAAGCTCAAATTTGAAATAACCATATTTCTCGCTATATATATATTTTTTTACCTTACAGATTTAAATATACGTTAGTAGATAACACTGATGGTATCATGAAAGACCAGACTCTCTGGTCTGATCCTATCAAAACCAGACGAGGTAAGTTTGGGGTTTGGTTGCGTATTCTGATCACTTGCTCCTGGGGAGCAATGTCTAGTCCTTACCCCCAGTTTGAACAATTTTGTCAGCTTTTCAGTATGAGAACAACAGGATTAAACGTGGAATAATGTTCTGTTTCTTCTATGACCTTCAGAACAATAATTCTTTTAGCATAGTTGGGGTTTGTACATTTTACTAGAGACTTGATGCATACCATGGTATCTTGTTCTTCTGAAACTTGTGTGATATGGGTGCTAGTCCTACTGGGTAGTCTGCTGAGACAATCTCATTCCCTCTAATGCTGGCACTGAGCACTAAACTTGCTTCCTGTAGCTCACCTAAGACTTCAGGTAGAGGCAGAATGATTTTGCCTCTCCTAAATCACTAGCCACCTTTTGGTGAAGGTGTACTAGTCAAAAATAGATGACAGGAATGTCCTTTTCATGCTTTTCTAGTTAAACTTCCCATGAAAATTGACACCTGGCCTGGTCGAAGGAGTGGAGGCATGATTGTCATTACATCAATCCTGAGTGTTTTTCTGTTCCTTCTGCTTTCTGGCCTCCTCGCTTCTGTGTTCTCTATTGTCAAGTAAGTACTATTAAAACTTCTACTAGAGTAGTATTGCTACATCTTTCAGCATTCATAAAGATCACACACTGCAATAATTAATAACTGCTTGAGTAGAGCAGATTTGCTACCTTTTCTGGAGGAATAAGTTATATAACTAAAGAGGTCTTGCTGATGGTGGTAACCAAACAAGTCTACAAACTGTCTCTAGTCTGTCTGCTGCTCCTAAAAAAATCAATGAGACCTCAGTGATTCCCAAGATGAACTTCTGGTGAACGAACTATAGTTCATTCACCAGAGCTCTGGTGAACTTCTGGGAATGAACTGAATTTCAGAAAGAGAGCATCGGAGCAGCAGAAACCTAAATTTTTTGTCTGGAAATGACGCATGAACTCTGATTACTCAGCTCTGGCAGGGTGCTGGATGAAAGGCATGGAAAGTAGACACTGCCTAGCAAATGATTTTTAAAAAATCTCTGATAGTCTCGATAGTAAATGATTCAAGTAGCAATCGGTCTTTGCAGAGCCTTGTGAAGGTGGCCTCCAGTCTCTACTGGAACTAAATAAAACCTTTCACTGCCTAACTAGGGGATTAGAAGATTCTTCTGTGGAGACAAGGCACATGCCTCAGACTGTGCAACAGGGGGAACCGAGACTGCAGGAGAGCTCTGAATGAACAAGCAGCCTGGTTCAAGGCAAGGATGGAGACGCAACAGAATCGCTGCATGTGCTAGACCTACAGGATCATCTCCTCTACTCAACACTGGTTCAAAACAAACTACAGGAAGAGTGCCTGGCATCAAAAGGCACAGATTACTTAGGAAACACCTTTTTCTGAAGTACATGATATTCTGTCTTAACATAATGAATCTTCATTTTTGTTAATTGCCTTGTATGACACACATGAAATACCTAGACTAAAGAAGGAAGCTTCAGGAGACCTTTTCACTTCAGTGGAGTAATCAGAGGTTGTCTAATAGCACTGACATCTGGCTTAGGCTTTGGTGCAGACCTCTCATCTGCAGCTGCATCAGGATTTCACTGACTAACCCTGTCATAAAACTTACTTTATTCCTCCTTGCCCCTAAAAGAAACAAAAAAAGTTCCAATTGTTCTGGAACACAGCAATTCTGATCTCAAATAGCTTTGGGGGGATGATGGCTAATAAAAGGGCTTCAAAGAAGGCACGTTCTTTCACAACCCTGTATAATAAGGAGGGAGATAATGTTATAGTGGGAAAAACATGAGTATATTCATGCTGTCAGGCTTGGCCAAGCTCCTGGTCTTTGTTCTAAGTGGTTGTGAATGTCTTAGTATCTGGACTTTGGGGCATTTGTGAGCTATATTTCTTCCTTCATTTCAGGATTGTGACTGATGGTTAGAAATAAATCTTGGCCTCACATAAAAGCTATGTACTGCATTTTTTCATTGATGTAGATTCACCTACACTGATTTGTCTGCCCAAAAAGCTTATGAGGAAGACTGAATTTCAAAGCTTTACCTCTTGATTGTGTAAAAGCAACTACTCTACTGTATTTACCTGAACAAATTTGATGCATTTAACATTATCCGCATCCCTGCTATAACCTGATGGCTGAATGTAAGGATAACATAGAAAATCTCCTTAGAAACTTTGATTTACAACATCTAGAAAAAATATGACTATTAGATGGATTTTCCTCCATCCACTGATTGCTGGTTTCTAATGATCTTCCAGTGAGTTGAAGAAAACTGGGGGGCTACTACTCTGATGAGAGGGCAATGTATTGTTTTCTGATATCTAATTCAAAAGGACTTCACCATATCAGTCTTCCTGCAATACTCTTTCTGGGATAAGGATCCTAATCCCTACTTTTATAAATGGTACACAGTACTTAGAAAACTGAAAATGGATGCAGCACTTCTAGTAGAATGTTACACTACTTCCTTACTGATTGCACAATCTTGGCTCAAGTTTCCTTCCATCAGATACCTGTAACCAGGGAATTACAGAAATCAATACCCAAGTAATTCTATTGGTGCACCAATATGTCACTTGTCCTCTTTTATTTTTAGATTTGTAATGTTTTTCAACCAAAAGGAGCATTATCCATCATGAGGCGAGAAAGGATTGACAGTCTTACAAATCTGTGGTGTTGTTATCTTCCCTGAATGTCCAGGCAATGACAACTAAAATCATCACCTCATCACCGTGTACAGGAAAACTGTGGGATTATGCCAAAGGCAATGCTGAGTGCAACAGAAGTGGTCCTTTTGTTTTCTAATTCAGTCCTTTCTAACACATAAATCAACAGTCATCCCACCCTGTACCAAGAATGGAATATGCCTCTGTGTGTTTGTTCTTTCTTTTTGCCATTAAATACAAAGGCACATTAAACCACAGTTAAACTAAGTTAGCACTGCGCAGTCTTCTCTAAGAAAGGAGCAGATACCATAGGAACAGTGACTGTCTTACATCTCCTGGAGCCACAAGCAGATGACTAGAGCACCCACAGGGTCTTGTCCTGAGGTTACGCTCACTGAACAGCATGTGAGAGACGACTGAATATGACATGAGAAATGGCTGGACGCAACAGATGTGAGAAGCTGACAAAAGTTACAGATAAGGCTGTAATGGATGGCTGTGTTTCACATGTGGTTAAAGAGGAAGCTATATGATAAATGGCAGAACTTCACAGCTATTGGGATGGCAGCGTTGGGGACTTTTAGGGGTGAAGACTCTTACAAAGTCAACAGTGTGCACATAAGCATCTCAGCAAAACCCCATCAGGCAAAGATTACTTGGAAAACAATATCAGAAATAACAAATCTTGGGACAGATGTAGCAAAACAGACCACTAGGGAAAAAATAATTAGAGGCTTGTTGTTTACTTAGGAGGAGACTGCGGTGAAGAAAGGGATGGTCGAGAAACATGAAGAAGTTCAGTAAGATATGCAAATACTGTAACTGGGACAGTCTCACAAAGAGGAATGTGCTAGAGCAGGACAATAAACTAAACCTGTTTCTCTGATCGTATCACACACATCAAGCTTGCTTCTACGGGTAGGAGAGCTATGGTGACTACTCTGTTTGCAAGGGACACCCAGGACCGATGCATCAGCCTGCGAGTTTTCACTGTGTAGGTGCCTCTTCTGGGCCTGATAACATCAGCACTGTCCTAACAGACTTGCAGGTCAGATCATGATTTCCCTGGGTCAGAAGGGATAGTACATATATATAGAGAGAGTATATACTACAGTGCATATATATATATGTTTGTTGTGTTCTTTGAGTTGCATGATTAATAGTCTTCTTGCTGTTCAAGCTGTAATAGACATGAATCTCTGCATAATTTCTCTAATGTACAAATCTACTTTGGGGAAGAATTCAAGACGGTCTTGTGTATAGATACTTGAGATCTTTTTAAAATGGGTACTAGGAACTAAAAGCTGATGGGTGTTAACTCTCAAGTGGGAACAAAAATTTGTGAAAACACAGAAGTTTTCAAGAATTTCAGCACTTGATTAAGCAATCATGTGTTTAATGATGATCATCTTGGAGGTACTGTACTAGCCAAATGAAATGAAAACAATGTTGCTCTGTTTAACTCGTTCAGAAGCCTTAACCTCTTAAAAACTTTTATGCTACTACTGACAGCAGGAAAACAAGGGCATTTTGTTTCTTTCTCTAGCCGTGCACACACACACACACACACACACACAAAGAATATGTATCCACCCACTGTAGAAAACTAAAAGAAAATACAGCTCCCATTGCATTAGGGATGAGATTTTCATGGAAGACAAAACACAATTTCACATTCAGGAAATGTGATTTTTTTTTAAACTGTGTGATACTAATGAGTCAGAAAGTGGTTTTAATTGCTGGAAGTAGAATATAGTGAAGAGAGAATTTTTACTTAAAAACTGATCAGCTGCCACAATCAGTTTTTATTTAGAATAAATTTTCATTTAGAAACTTAAAGTTACTGAAAACAGTTGAAACTGAAACAAGACTTTAAATATTACCAATAGTGATTAAAATGTTTTTCCTTTAAATCTTAATTCAAATACAAGTTTATGATTTTTTCCCCTTTAAGATCTCTTACTTTGTATGGGATGGGAAGAATGTTTCTGCCCAGTTGGAACTGCTGAGAGATTTGCTGTGAGATTCACAGCCTAATTCCAAACATAGTGTACATAGCCTATATGACTCTTTCTTATGATAAATGTCTTTAAACCAGATATTTAAAATGAATTGATGGCAGAGTGATAGGAGAGCTCCATTTAAGTGGATAATCTAACATGCTGTAGATGAACTTATCTAAAAAAAAAACTCAGAAGCACAGGTACTGATTCAGGGTTACGTTTAAAAGTCAAAATAAATGTTTCCTAACATGATAAAAAGTACTGATAATTCTAACCCAAATTTGATTCCCCAAACTCTTTCCTCTGAACAACAGCAAACTGAATCCTGAGTAGGGCTCAGGATAAAGCCAGGAATACATCAAAAAACATTAAACAATCTTGCTAATTATTTACTCAAAGCACTTTAAAATAAATCACACATCAGGTTTATATGTGTACTGTTAATTAAGATCTCATCATGAATAATAATTTCTGTAAAGAAGTGTAGACGGATCTCAGTAAAGAAGTCTTTGGGCAATGCTAGATTGGGACATGCAACTGTCATAAAGGGAGGATAGAGCTGCTGCTCAGCAGGACCTCAACAGACTGTAAAAACCAGCTGGTAGGAGTCTCAAAGTTGAGCAAAGGCAAATCTCAGATCTTGTGCCTGGGATGGAATAATCCCATGCTACCACACAGCCTGACACCAACGGACTAGAAAGCACTTTGGCAATAAATAAATAAATAAATAAATAAATAAATAAATAAATAAAATGGACTGCCCATGGACAACACGATGAACAAGAGTCAGTAGGGTGTCTCTGAGGCAAAGACAGTCACTCACAGCCGAGCGGCCTGCGTTAGTAGGAGGCACCCAGCAGGTCGAGCGAAGTGTTTCTCCCATGTATGGCATCTGTGGAAACATGCCTGGAGTCCTATGCCCAATTTTGGACTCCTCGCAATGGGAAGAAACAGAAGCAAGCCCAGCAGAGGTCCATCAAAGTGGTCATGGCCTGCAGCTCATGATGCACAAGGCGTACGCAGAGAACTGCAATTTTTTCAGTGTCAAAATGAGAAGGCTGAGTGGAAATCCTATTGCTGTCTTCAGCTTCCTAATGGGAGAGTATTGCAAAGGCAGCGTCAGACTTTTCTTGGAGGTGCATAGTGTTAGGACAAGTAGCAACAGACACAAATTACAGCACAGGAAACTCACTCAATAGAAAGAAAAGCTTTTTCTCTATGAGGTGTGTCAAACACTGGTATAGGTGCCCAGAAAAGTTGTGGATACTCCACCCTTGGAAGTATTCAAAACTTCACTGGCACAAGCCCATCAGCAACACCACATAGTTGGTCTGGCTTTGAAAAGGATTTAGACAAGATGATCTCAAGAGATTTTTTCCGACCTAAATTTTTCTATTTTTACGTGCTCATTTACATTAATCAGGAACCATGTACGTAAAAAAAAATACAGAAATAAACTTCTGCTTGT